CGGCGGGGGTCGGCGGAGCCCCGCAGTCAGCCTCCTCCGAGTCTCTCTGGGCGGCTCAGCCTCGATCCCCGCTGGTGTCGCAGACCTCCGCGGCCTCCTGCCGACTCCTCCGGCCTGGGCGTGTGTGTAACGCTGAGTCGCTGGGGCTGGCGTCGGGCGGGCTTGCGGTGTCCTCTCCATCTCCTGCAAGCTGCCTCCACCTGAGGTGTCAGGTGTCCCCAGGCGAAGGAGGTGGGGCGCCCTCCACCTCTGTCGGGTGTTCTCACATTTCGGAATGCTTTAGGTTGTAATGTCCTGACAGCAGGCTGTTTCTTTTTACCCCCATCTTGTATAGATTGACGCTTGTTTTATTGGAAGTAATCCCCCTCATCTCCTAAAGTCAAAACAAGAAGATGCAGAAAAGCCTGAAGTCACACCTCAAGTCAGAACATGCCATTTCGACCAAAACCTCTCGTTGCTGGGCTCCTCCTTAGTCATTGTTGGAAGCACTGTAATTTCATCTTACTGGCCTCTTCCCAACAGATTGGGCTATTGCAAAATAAAACAGCACTTTGCTCCTTTGCATCTGTTTTTTTCCTGCCAGTTCCAAATAACTATATAATTTATCTAACATTCTTCTCCATCCCTCTGTACCCTCATTTATCACCTATTATTTTCTTTTTTAAAACTTTTTCTTTATAGTTCCATGCTTCTGGAATATGGCTCTAGCAGGAGAGCTTTCCCAATGTAATTATTTACAAGTACTGTTTTAAGTGGGTTATTTTATTCTAAATGTACCTCTGCACTTTTGATTTTTTTTACATTGCTTAATTGTTTAAAATGTGATGCATTGAAATAACAAAGGAAGGCAGGGGATTTAGCTGTAGTGCCACAGCACCTGCCTTGCAAGCTCAAGGTCCTGAGTTCAATCCCTGCTACCAAAAATAAATAAATAAATAAATAAAAATAACAAAATTCATAATATTTATAACAAAATTCTTACCCATTTTTTATAATTCTAGAAGCACTGTCCATTTCCATATATCTGTAGCATAGACTAAATCATTTTTAACCATCTTCTATGTGGATATTTATAGTACTTTTAATTTTTAGATCTAAGTGTAGTAGAGAATCTCAAGACATACATAAATTAGTACATATCTTTAAATTGTTTCTTATCCATCATTACTTATAGACAACTGATGTTCAGATCCTATAATTTCCCTCAGAAAACATTTCCATTTACTTACTGAAGTACTTTCTGGTGGCAGGCAGTGTCTTATAGTAAATGAGAACCCTACGTAGGTCCCCTGGGGCTTATGAGCAGCCATTGCTCTTCTTCCTATCTCTGCTGCTAGAGATAGTCTGCTATGTAGATTTCTCTTTTTCTCTGGCTTCTGTCTTTAGAAAGAACTGGTCATTTGTACTAGTTTTACTGTTTGCCTTTCTCCAGAGTTGCCCAGCACTCTTCAGTTACAAACTGAGTTAAGTAGAGTGATATTTCCAAATTTTCTGCCTTCGTGGAAGTTTTTTCTTAATCTGTCTACCAGTAACTCAAGTTCTTCAATCACAGAGAAGACTGATTTGAGAACTTAAGTAAAATGAAAGCAAAGAGAATGTTGCTGAGTTAGAAGAGTCTCAAACACGAATTGAGCTGATTTTATTATTCCAGCACTGGGGACTGAACCCAGGAGCACTCTAAGCAGTGAGCTACACCCCCAGCCCTTTTTATTTGTTTTCAGACATGGTCTCACTAAGTTGTCCACTTGGTACTCAAACTGTCAACCTCTGCCTGAGCCTCCCTCGGTGCTGGCATTATAGGCATGAACACCCTTCCTGAGTTAATTTTAGGTCAAATATATGGGAAGCAAATTTAGCCAATATACATGGTTGGAAAGATGAAAGGTTATATAAGTAATCTAAAGAATATAACTGCTTTTTTTTTTTAACAGTTTCTCTGTGTTGCCCAGGGTGGTCTTGAACAATTGGCTCAAGGAACTCTCCTGCCTCAGCTGCCGGCTTCTTGAGTATTGGAGACCACAGGCTCATGATTTGCTTTTTTTTTTTTTGTAAAGAAGATAGTCTATGTAATTCATATCAAAATGATACCTCTTTTGGAACAGTGACTTATTTTGATGATGTTATATTAAAACTATTTTGGAATTCTCTGGTATAGTTTTTGTAAAAATCTTAAGTCATGGCATATTACTGTCTTTTTAGAAATGAATGCCTTCCAAGGTAGCTACTTTGAAAGCGATGTTATTCATTTGGAAATGTCTAATATTTCTTTTTTGTTATTTAAAAGATTTTTTTTTTTTAATACCAGGGATCAAACTCAGGACCTTGTGTTTGCCAGGAAGGCTCCACTGAGCTACATCCCTGGCCTGTATATCTCACTATGTAGTGCAGGCTGGCCTTGGCCTACCAAGTGCTGGGAATATAGGCCTGTGCCACAACACCTGGCTTTCTAATACTTCTTAAGATGTACTCTGTAAATGTGTTTCTGTGGTGTTCTTGCTGTACTCAAATTTGCCTTGACCTTCCAGAAGTACTTTGACTTACAATGATAAATAAAACTATGCACATTACATAGATGCAAATACATATCTTTAACCTTATTAAAGAGAAAAAATATAAGCTTAAAGTGATTGCATGTTCATTCACAGATACCCCATATAAAACATCTCAAAAAAGCATACCCAACAGAATGTTTTGGAATTAAGAAATAATATTGGAATAAAAGAATAAAAACATTGTTCAGAGTTGTTTCTGTGATTCCAAATCACAAAACAGACTATTGTTTTGAGAGGCTTCTGATACTTCCATTAACCTAGAACTTTAGGATGAAATCTGACATAATGTTTTCTATTACAGAAACTGGTTGTTTGGAGGTTTTAGTATGTGTGGAGGACCACAGACCAATGCCAACTAAGAGAAAAAAAATATTTATTTACATAATCCTTGGAAATGTGTTTTACTAAGGATGATTTCAGTTGCAATCAGTGAAAACTACAACTTGGAATTGTTTAAACAATGAAGGATATTTATTAGTTTATGTAATTGAAAACTAAAAAGGTAGTATTAGCTTCAGGAAAGATTTAGTACTGCTAGGAATTCAGTTTCTTTTCATTTATTTCCTCTATCTTCTGTTGCTTATTCCCTGAAAGCTAGCTCCTGTGGTCCCTTGAAGCAGTCCAGTCCCCTGGACTATTGGCTTCCTCATTAAAGTCCAGCAAGTATGAGAGTATGTTTATCCCAGAGTTCTTTGCAAAAGTCCTGACACACTCTGATTGTTGTTTGTAACCATTTTTTATTCAGTTACTGTGGCCTAGAGATGTGGAATGTACTGACTGATTTAACCTAGGTCACATGTTGAAGCCAGAGACTGAGTCAGCTTCCTTGGAACTGTTTATCTCCAGAGAGAAGTCTGTCAGGAAGGGGAAAGCAGATGATACATGTCCACTACAGAGGGCTTAGTACAGCTTATTTATTCTTTCATTTCTGTATCAGTTATTTGCTAAGCTAGATGCCAAGTACTGCAGGGTCTTTACCATGAGGGAGGTGCTTTCAAGTTGGAACTAGTAGAAGTGTGTGGAGTAACCAGATGCAAATTATTTTTGAGATTCTCTCCCAAAATTTGGGTTTTAATATTTTTATTAGGAGAAAAATAGGTGCTAATTAATTTTAATAAGCATACAATAGTACTAAGTTGTACCTTAAAAGTTCTTAAGCAACCAGTTTAGAATTGTGATAGAATCTGAAATTTTTGGATTTATGTTTTTATCCCAAATAATTTTGTGTTTAAATATGAATCAAACCTTTTTATTACTATTTTCTAGTTTTATTTCACCTCCTCTGGAGGATTTTCAACACAATTCCAATACCCAGCGTTGTTTTACTTGTACTTTTTGCCAGTGAGGTGGTAGTATTGGCCACAGGCCTTGGGAGGCTTATGCTTTGGTGTTAAAGGATATATCTTACATATTACAATTATGTTAAGTCTCTGTGTTCGGTGATATGCATAGCTTTCCAAAACCGTGTTTCAGAAATGAATGTAGTAGTGGGGTCACCTATTAAGAGATAGTATTTTACTTCTCTCATCTGTAAATGTTGAGCTGAAGTTGAAATTTTCCATGAGAGTGAAGTACATTTGATGATATGAATACCTTGTTTATGTCCCTATCATGTGGTAGTAGCTATCTTGATAAACATTTTAAGATCCTAACATGTGCATTGTTTTCATTATAGGTATTTGTTTCTTCCCATTATTCCATGTACAGTACTCTTCAGTTCTTACATAACAAATACATTAATATATTCCCTTGTACTTAGTAGACATTCAGCATATTTTTGCTTGTTTTTTGTTTTGTTTTGTTTTGTTTTTTTGATACCAAGGATTGAACTCAAGACCTTGCACTTGCCAGGCAGGCACGGAGCCACTAAACTACATCCCCGGCCCCTCAGCTAGTTTTTGGTAGATAGTTTTAACTGATCTGGATAGAATTGAAAAGTGTACTAATTTACTAAAGCTTCTTTTATATGTTAATGTTTTGGCCTAAATTAAGAGAGTTATCAAATATCTGAATTTGTTTATAGGCTAAAAATAAAAGGAGTCTCTACTTCTACCTTACAAGTGTTTTAATATTCATCATAAGTAAGAGTTACTGATGTATTTGAAACAGCTTAATGCAACAAGACTCAAGCTACAACTAAATATATGTAAATGTCTTCAATGAAGACAACAATGAAGTAAATATTTAAAGTAATTAACAATATTCTTGTATTTCAAAGTACTAATATCCCTATTTTTGGCGGACTGAGTTAAAAGTGATTAATGCTAATAGTTGGATATGAAAATACAAAACTTTGCATAGTGTCTGCTTTCCTTTTTTTTTAGGAACAGATGTTGTCATTGTTAAAAATGGAAGAAGAATATGTGGAACAGGAGGTTGTTTAGCCAGTGCACCTTTACATCAAAACAAAAGCTATTTTGAATTCAAAATCCAATCCACAGGTTAGTATAAAGGTATTTTACTATTAAAAATTCTAATTGTTTTAAATATTAAGTAATTTTAGATATGTGAAAAAAGATTTAGAAAGTAATTTTCAAACTCTCACTTAGAAAACTTGAGTCTTCTCTTTTGTGATCCTGGCTAAATTAGCCAATTTTATTAAATTAGGCTTAGTTTTCTCTTCTATAAAAACAGAGATTATAGGAGTTTCCTTTTCTGCCTCACAGGAACTATGTATGCAATTGTTTTAAAGGTAAGATATGCTGGATACATGTAAGGTACCAAGCATTATTAAGGGGTTCTGACTCATCATTTTATTTATTCCATCATAGGAAGTATGTAGACTTTTGCTATTTTACTTTAGGATAAAATCAATCTTTTGATTCTGAGTTTTTCTCTTAACTATCTTTGTGTGTGTGTGTGTGTGTGTGTGTGTGTGTGGTATTGGGGACTGAACCCAGGCACTTTACCGCTGAGCTACATTCCTTTTTAATATTTTATCTTGAGACAGGGTCTTACTAAATAACCCAAACTGTTCTTGTTTTTTTTTTTGTTTTTTTTTTTTGAGATGGGGTCTCACTGTGTAGATGAGACTGACCTACTGACCTGGAACTCACTATGTAGCCCAGGCTGGTCTCAAACTCACAGCGATCCTCCTGCCTCAGCCTCCCAAGTGCTGGGATTACAGGCATGCGCCATCACACCCAGCCTCCCAAACTGTTCTTGAACTTGCAACCTTCCTGCTTCTGCCTCCCAAGTAACTGGGATTACAGGTGTACACTACCATGACCACTCTCTTAACTCCTGTTAAGATACCCTCATTCAGTGTCTTCTGAAGCAGTCTTCAGATTTAAAATGTGGAGGAAGTCTAACATCTATACTTCTCCTAAAATGTATGGCATTTCTTGAATTGAATAGTAATTCTCTATTATTATTAAGTTAAATTGTGGCAGTATTATGTAGAGGGAAATTTGGCAGGGAGGGAATCTTTGTTATAAAGAAGCCTCTGGTGAAATACTGCATGAGTAATATAGGTACAGAATAAGAAAACTAGAGTGGAATAGTGAATCCTACTAATTCCTACTGTTACTTAACTCCTTGAATAGTATAAAATGTCTTTCTGTATTAGGTTGTTTTGTTTTATTCACAGTACTGAGGATTAAATCCAGAGCCTTGCACATGCCAGGCAAAAACTCTGTCACTCGGCCATGTCCTTAGCCCTTTATTTGTTTTATTTTGTTTTGTTTGGGGTTTTTGAGACAGGGTCTTGCTCTATACTTCAGGCTGGCATTGAACTCACTATGTAGCCCAGGCTGGTCTTGAACTCAGTGCAATCCTCCTGCCTCAGCCTCCCATGTGTTGGGATTACAGGCATGCGCCACCACACCTGGCAGTCCTATATTATTTTAATACTGACTCTCCTCAGTAAATGAAATGCAACTGAATCTGTCCTCTATTCCATTGTAAGTTAACTTATTGCTGCAAAATGTCCCTGGTCATGATAATCTTCTCAAATACAACATACTTGTTTCTCAAGAGATACAAATAATTTTTTGAGCCATAAATCTAATAAAAGTTTCTTAGTGGGTTTTCTGTAAAAGATACTATCCCTAATGATAGCACTAAAATGAAGGATTTGTTGGAATCTGCAGCTTGATCCTGCAGTGAAAACTTGAGGCAGTGTGGCCCAGTTCTGTAGGAGTAGGGAGAGTCTAGAGTCCTACAAGCAAGTGTTTTCCTATAGAATTCATATTTTTACCTCTTGCCACTCTCATAGTTGTTCAACTTTGGAGGATAAAATATATGCTCAAATTATTTTAGAGGCCAAGACATCGAATTTTAGACATGTAACTTTCTGACTGTTTCACTTAACCCAGAAAAAATTTATATACTGAACATGGTCTTCAGACCATGTATAGTGTTTGTATAGAATTTCTTCTGAATTTGCTAAGAACTGAGAAGGAAGCACTTTGACACAAAATCAGGAGAAGAAGTACTCACTTCAAAAGTTAGCTTACACCAGAGAAACTGTATCCATTTTCCTATGAATGACTCTAATTTCTCATTCTTTATGGCTGAGTAATGTGAAATAGGAAGAAAAGGGCTAAAGGTGTAGGGAAAGTGGGAAGGGTAGGGAAAGGGGAATAAGGGAAAAGAAAAAAATGTGAGAAAATGAAAAAATGGAATTAAAGTGTTTGTAAATGGGGAGGGGAGGAGGGGATGAAGGGAGGGTAGGGGCATGGGGAAAATATGAGAACCAAGACCGGTCATGCAAAGGTACAAGATCCCAGTAATGAATGTAACTGTACTGTATACCTACAATGTACCAATAAACTAAATAAAAAGAAAAAGTAAATAAATAAATAAATTTAGCTTAGACCAAAAGTAGTTTTTGGTTTGTTTGGTTGTTTGGTTGTGGTTGAAATCAAAGGAGTGAGCATGCTAGGCAAGTACTTTAGCACTGAGTTACATCCCTAGCCTAACTTACACCACAAGGTTTTTAACTCAACAACTTAAAGTATTAAATAAAAATCACTGGAGGTGGGTGGGTTCAAGAGATCAAACTCAGGACCTTCCTCTTGCAAGGCAGGTGGCGGTTCCACTGAGCTAAATCCCCAGCCCCAAATCACTTTTTATATACATATATATATATCTTTAGCACTGAGTTACATCCCTAGCCTAACTTACACCACAAGGTTTTTAACTCAACAACTTAAAGTATTAAATAAAAATCACTGGAGGTGGGTGGGTTCAAGAGATCAAACTCAGGACCTTCCTCTTGCAAGGCAGGTGGCGGTTCCACTGAGCTAAATCCCCAGCCCCAAATCACTTTTTATATACATATATATATATATATATATAT